ACGTTCCATCGGGGAACCAGGAGGACATGTCCCTGTACCCCTGCAGTGGCAGCCCCTGTGTGTGGCATACTCAGGACTAGCAGAGGCAGAGTGAGCATTGCCTCCCCCTCCACCACGGCAGGGGACCAATGTTGACGCAAGCGCAGAGGGTAAACGAGATGTTTTTTTCTTTTCTTTTGTTTTGTTCTGGGGTTTTGGGGTTTTCTGTGTTTCCTCTGGGCCAGTTTTAGCTCTGTTTACACCATGGTGGTCTGGCACCACATCTGGCAGGAGCTTCTGTGCTCTGAGGCCAGTGTCTCACCCCGACAGCATCGCTTTGGCCCACAGGAGATGGAAAATCCCCCTTCTCTAGGGAACAGCCTTGGTCCCACCAAGCAGTGTGGCAGGGCCTTTGGGACACCCCAAGGCTATTTTTAGGTGCCCCAACTCTCAGCACAGTTTTTGGAACTGGCCTCAAAACCATGAGTGCTCCCAGAAACCAAGGGCCTCACAGTTTCATGCAGATCGTGGCAAGGCCCTGGCACTGGGGAGCTCTGGCCAGCCCTGCTCAGGACAGCATGAGGACATTTCCCTTGCCAGAGTGGCCCTGGTGTCCCTTGCAGCCCTGATACAATGTGCCGTGGAGCTGGCAGGGCAGCTGCTGGCCACAGGTGGGTAGGAAATCCTGCTCCACTGTCCAGCCAAGAGCATGAGGGTCAGGCCAGGTCCTGCCCCAAAATCGAACAGGTTATTTTTAACCCTCTGTGACCCCACTGGGGTTGCACTTACCTGCAGGGCCTCGCAGACCTGCTCCACGCTCAGTGTTTCCTTGATGAACTTGATGCAGAGCTGGAAGGCAGATGGGGAGAGTGTGGACAGAGCAGGGACCCAGCCCTACCATCCTCGCCCCCCCCCCCCCCCCCCCCCAGTAACTCTCAGCATCCCCTAAGACCCCAGGACACGGGCTATGGGACATGGGGCAAGGGACATGGGGTGGAGGCACCTCAGGCCCCAGGGTTTTGTGAGGCAGTCGTGGGCTGTGGGATGCAGGCTCACAGTACAGCCTGTAGGCAGCCAGCCCAGGCACCAATTCAGCCAGGGACCAAGCTTGATGTGACCAAACCCCAGCCAAACTCATAGCCCCACATGGGTCACCTAACCCTGGCCAGAGTCACCAGCCATGTCCTGCCACGAGGGACAGCCCTGGTGCCAGCTGCAGTGTGCTGGGTGCCCTAGTTTTGCCCAGCCCTGCCTGCCAGCTGTTCTCTGTCTGGGGCTGCTGGGGGACCAGCATTTCTGGCTGCAGCCCACTGGCGGGCCATGCAGGTGCGATGTAGCCAGATGTGTGTTGTGGAGCAGGACCTCCCTCGTGCTGAGCCCCTGGGAAACCCAAGGGAATGTGACATGCAGGGAGGAGCTGTCAGCTGGAGCAGAAGGGCCCTGAGTTATTGGCCTGAGTCATTGGCAGGAGGGACATGAAGTCACCCTGCAGCTGGGGACACAGCCACGGGCTTCCCCGGCTGTCTTTGGTCAGCCCCTTTCCCCTCCACCCTTCCTCTATGGCTTTCCCTGCTGCAGGTCATCCCCACCCCAAGGATGCATTTGCTGGATTGTGGGGTGGGACTCGTGTAGCCGGGGCACAGGGTCTCTCTTTTTTGGTGTTTAACAGCCCCGTGCCACATTTGGCCTTCAGCTGAGCTTGTCCCCACAGAGGCAGTGGGGCAGATCCCATCACACTGCCCCAGCACGCAGCAGCCCACAGTTCCTCATCTCCTCAGCGAGGTCCTTCCCCCGCGCGGCGGGAAGTGACAGGAAGTCCGGGCACGAAATGGCGGGTCACGCGATCAGCCCAGCTGTAATTCAGGAATCACGCTGATGACGTGGCCTGGCCGCCCTCCCCAACGCCGAGCTGCTCCAGCTCCCTGCGCAACCCTCCGCCCACACTGCTCCCACCCCTTCTTTTTGCTCCCTGCTGCCTTCCCAAAACCTTCCCACCTGAAGCAGCACCCTCTTGGCAGCACTGTGGCTGGGGTGCTGAGTGCTCCTCAGGACTGGGGC